CGACTCATCAGGAGGCTGAACCCTCAACAGTCTGCAGAATCCCCTCACTGATTACACTGTAAATGATAATCTACCTTAACCAAAATCGAAGTAGACTATCACTCACCCACACCAGATGGAAAACTCTACAGACTGTCGGTTCATATATATATTTTTTAATTTTAAATTTTATTCTAAATTTGGTGAAGAATTTCGATGTGACCCTGAGGCAAAAGTTGTTCATTTTATTTTGCTGCATAACATAGTTTTTTTCGGGTTTTTTGGTTTTTTTTTTTCTTTCTTGGCTGGGACCTTCCCTGGTCCTTGCACGGGCTGGCCACCCGGGACCCGGGCGGTCCGGCTGGTAGCCTAGATTTTTTAGGTTTATTTTTTATTTTTTATTTGGTTAAGAATTTCGATGTGATCCTGAGGCAAAAGATGTTCAGTTTATTTTTTTTCATAACATAGTTCTTTTGCAGATTTTTTCGAATTTTTTTAGTTTTTATTTTTTGCCGGGACCCACTTTGGGCCTTGTACTGCCGGGCTGCCCGGGAAAACAAGGTCACCCGGGTGGCCCGGCTGGTAGCCTAATTTTTAACTCATTTGATTCCAGTGGAATTCGAACTCAGGTCTGAACTTCAGCAGTTATAGATTTTAAACATGGAAAATGCAATTTTTCAATGCAATGCACATTAAATTTTGCCTCAAACTAACGGCTACTGTCTTCACCCAGGCGGTCATTATAGCTGTACCCGGCGCAAATTTCAGTCCAGATACAGGGATCAGGACCGGGCGGTCTATTCGAGTGAAGATGGTCGCGGATGTCGCCAAGGAAAACAAACAAAAACGTGATGAAATGGATACCAAAAAAAGAAATCGTTTTTAAATATAGACTAATTATAGTTGTTCATTTAATTATAGAATAAAATATTATAATTTCATATAGAAATTTATATAACAAATTATATTATGTTCTTTCAGCTGGAAAGTTCTCTCTTCAGAGTCTTAACTGGTTTATTGTGGCTGACTTGCGAAACTGCCCTTACGAATATCGTGCTAAAAATAGCAACGAAGGTAACTGCGAACAGAATGTAACTGCAAATACGGTCAGATGCATTCTCAAGAACATGAGTAAAGTCGCGGAAGATTCTCGGTCCAATACTTGTCTTCATGCACACTAACATCAGGAACCCACCTTAAGCCAGATGTATTTTCTGAATTTCTGCATTTTTTTCTATTTTTTCCCAAATTTTCGTTTATTTTATTGGACCGTTATCAGGAACCCACCTTAAGCCAGTTGTGTTTTCTGAATGTCTGCATTTTTTTCTATTTTCCCCCAAATTTTCGCTTATTTTATTGGACCATTAAGTCCGTCTCATTTTTTTTAATTTTTTCCTGTTTTTTCTTTCTATTTTTCCCTCTTATCTCATCTCATCTATATCTTACTAGGTGTTT